TTAAAAATCGAAATTTCGTAAAATCCCTACGTACACCATTAAAAAATATTGTTGTTAATAGGAACATTCTTTGGTTTTTTTTCTTGGAGCCACGTACATAGCGGAATTTGACACGCCGTCTAACGGTGTTCCTCCAAAGGAATGTATTTTGGCGCCACCTACAAGAGATTATTTTTGACTTTTTCATTTTGTAATTACAGATTAAAGTTACATTAATGAATGACTAAACCCGATTTTGTTTCTGCGCACTCTTTGTATGCAAAAAAAAATTCATGAAAAAGGCCTCCAAAATTGCAGTCAAAGGTGGTATCCTGCCTTAAAGAGCTCCATGGTTACTTCATGACTAACATACGATCGATTAACACTTTAGACTTCGTTGCAACAACTGCTCGCAGTATTAAACTGGAACTTGATGAGTGTAAATGGAAAAGAAAGAGTTTATTTCTATTTACACATATGCAGTGGAAAAATAATCTTAGGGACTAAAATCTAAAAGAACGATTTTGCACTCCTGTTCGTATTAAAAGTGCGTCAATAACGTGATTAATAATTTCTAAGCTCATATTTATAAGGTTTAAACTATTGTTCGTCTAAAACATTGTTAATCAGTATGTTGATAAACTTTTAAAAACAAGTGAACAGCAAAATGCAAAAAAGGTGGCAGCTCTTTTATGCCACAGATTTTCAAAGTTTGATGTATCCCTGTTTTACATTGTGCCGCATTGTCGGGACATTTCCATACAACGTCACCAATTCGATCTTCGAGTCTTCAAAACCGCTTTATATCTTATCGATTATAATTACCTGTGCATTATGTGCTTTGCATCTGAGAAATCTGTATCAGTACGATTTTTTTAAGATTTTTACAAAGTTTGAAGATATAACCGCGTCTCTTGAAGTATGCACCTATTGTACATTGGCTGGTTTTATAACTATCATCACACTCATCTTGAGCAGTCTACGAATGCGCTTGCTACAGACCGTAATGCAGATCTCTTCGAGATTGTCTCCAGAGTCTTACCAGAAATTATCAAGATTAATTCACTCCAAAGACATCTTTGGTTCCTCCTGTTTAATGTGCGCCAATTTTCGATTTTATTTCAACATAGGCATAAAAGGCTTGAACATGATAGGTGTCCTATATACAGAATTACTATTGTTTACAATGGACATGCTGTATATAAATTGTGTTTGCATATTGAAGGCCTGTTACAAGGATATTAACAATAGACTTCTACATATACAAGAATTTACAATAAACAAAGAACTGCATGTTACTATATCTCATTACGAGCAGACAAATCCACTCTTGATTATGAAAATTAAGTCCCTGCAAAAGCAATACCTGATGATCAACGAGACAGTACACAAGTTGAACATAATTTTCAGTTTGCAACTTCTTGCTACAATAGCACTTGGGTTTACTGAAATCATTTTAGGACTGTACTATTACTTCCACGTAATTCAATGGTATGATAAAGTTATGAATTCGAAAGATCAAATCACTAACATGTTCTTAATGATCATAACATACCATATTACAAAGTTAACATTTGTTGTGTGGGCTTGCGAAACTGGCAAGAATCAAGCTCAAAAGATCCGTACTACGATTCATGATGTACTTAATAGTAGCAGAAATGAGCAAATAAAAAATGAGGTAAACATGCAATATGATTTATATATTTTTCTTATAACATACGATACTATACTATTATGATTTTTATGTGTGATATCTACTTAAGCATAATTAAATCTTCCAACTATATGACACTGTTACAATTTAACATTACAGTTGCAGTTGTTTTCCTTACAAATATTGCATGGGGGAAATACATTTTCTGCCAAAGCTTTCAATGTGGACGCATCGTTCCTCACTGCTGTGAGTAATCGATCGGTTGTTTTAATTAATTTAAAAAAATTTATCATGTTTTATATTGTTCTTTTAGATGGTGGGTACTATTACTACATATATGTTAATTGTGCTACAGTTCTTGAAGATATCACAGTCATGCGATGAAAGATCTGCAATTAATATTTCATAAATAATGTAATTCCACAATGCATTATTTTATTTTATTGACGGATATCTTGACATCTTTAAAATTAGTCATCATTAGTCATTAGTAGTCTTTTTGAATAAATATGCATTATTAATACGTCTCAGCAATTACATATTATTACCTTACGTAACGTATGTTATAAATAATAGATTAAAGAGCTCCATGGTTACTTCATTACTAACATACGATCAATTAACACTTTATACTTCGTCGCAACAGCTGCTCGCAGTATTAAACTGGCACTTGTTAAGAATAAATGGAAAGGAAAGAGTATATTTCTATTTACACATATGCAGTGGACAAATAATTTTAGGGATTAAATCTAAAAGAAGAATTTTGCAATTCTGTTCGTCTTAAAAGTGTTTCCATAACGTGATTAATAATTTCTAAGCTGATATTCATAAGGTTTAAACTATTGTTCGTCTAACACTGTGTTAATCAGTATGTTGATAAATTTTCAAAAACAAGTGAACAGCAAAATGCAAGAAAGGTGGCAGCTCTTTAATGCCACAGATTTTCAAAGTTTGATGTATCCCTGTTTTACATTGTGCCGTATTGTCGGAACATTTCCATACAACGTCACCAATTCGATCTTCGAGATTTCAAAACCGCTTTATATCTTATCGATTATAATTACCTGTGCATTATGTGTTGGGCATCTGAAAATACTACATCGGTTCAAAGTTTTTAAGATTTTTACAAAGTTTGAAGATATAACTGCGTCTCTTGAAGTAGACACCTATTGTATATTGGCTGGTTTTATAGCTATCGTCACACTGATCTTGAGCAGGCTGCGAATGCGCTTGCTACAGACTGTAATGCAGATCTCTTCGAGATTGTCTCCAGAGTCTTACCAGAAGTTATCAAGATTAATTCACTCCAAAGACATCTTTGGTTCCTTCTGTTTAATGTGCGCCTATTTTCGATTTCATTCCAACTTAGGCACAAATAGCTTGGATATGATAGTTTTCCTATATACAGATTTGCTATTGTTTACAATGGATATGCTATATATAAATTGTGTTTGTATATTGAAGGCCTGTTACAAGGATATTAACAATAGCCTTCTACATATACAAGAATTCATAATAAACAAAGAACTGTCTGTTACCATATCTCACTATGAGCAGAACAATTCACTATTGATTATGAAAATTAAGTCGCTGCAAAAACAATATCTGATAATCAACGAGACAGTACACAAGTTAAACATAATTTTCAGTTTGCAACTTCTTGCTACAATAGTTGTTGGGTTTATTGAAATCGTTTTTGGACTGTACTATTACTTCAACGTAATTCAATGGTATGATAAAGTTAAGAATTCGAATAAACAAGTCACTAACATGTTCTTATTGGACGCGACATATCATATTACAAAGTCAATGTTCATTGTGTGGGCTTGCGAAACTGGCAAGAATCAAGATCAAAAGATCCGTACTACGATTCACGATGTACTTAATAGTAGCAGAGATGAGCAAATAAAAAATGAGGTAATAAAAGTGCATTGTGATTTATTATATATATTTTACTTGTAACATACGATACCATACTATTGTGATTTTTATGCACCATATCTACTTAAGTATAATTAAAGCTTTCAATCATATGACACTTTTACAATTTAACATTACAGTTGCAGTTGTTTTCTTTACAAATATTGCATGGGGGAAATACATTTTCTACCAAAGCTTTCAATGTGGACGCAACGTTCCTCACTGCTGTGAGTAATCGATCGATTGTTTTAATTAATTTAAAAAAATTTAACATGTTTTATATTGTTCTTTTAGATGGTGGGTACCATCACTACGCATATGTTAATTGTGCTACAGTTCTTGAAGATATCACAGTCTTGCGATGAAAGATCTGCAATTAATATTTCATAAATAATGTAATTCCACAATGCATTATTTTATTTTATTGACGGATATCTTGACATCTTTAAAATTAGTCATCATTAGTCATTAGTAGTCTTTTTGAATAAATATGCATTATTAATACGTCTCAGCAATTACATATTATTACCTTACGTATCGTATGTTATAAATAATAGATTAAAGAGCACCATGGTTACTTCATGACTAACATACGATCGATTAACACTTTATACTTCGTTGCAACAACTGCTCGCAGTATTAAACTGGAACTTGATGAGTGTAAATGGAAAAGAAAGAGTTTATTTCTATTTACACATATGCAGTGGAAAAATAATCTTAGGGACTAAATCTAAAAGAACGATTTTGCACTCCCGTTTGTCTTAAAAGTGTGTCCATAACGTGATTAATAATTTTTGGGCTGATATTTATAAGGTTTAAACTATTGTTCGTCTAACACTATGTTAATCAGTGTGTTGATAAATTTAAAAAAACGAGTGAACAGCAAAATGCAAAAAAGGTGGCAGCTCTTTTATGCCACAGATTTTCAAAGTTTGATGTATCCCTGTTTTACATTGTGCCGCATTGTCGGGACATTTCCATACAACGTCACCAATTCGATCTTCGAGATTTCAAAACCGCTTTATATCTTATCGATTATAATTACCTCTGCATTATGTGTTTTGCATCTGAAAACACTGTATCTGTTCAACTGTTTTATATTATTTACAAAGTTTGAAAACATAACAGCGTCTCTTCATATAAGCACCTATTGTATATTGGCTGGTCTTACAGCTATCGTTACGCTCATCTTGACCCGTCCGCGAATGCGCTTACTGCAAACCATAATGCAGATTTCTTCGAGATTGTCTCCAGAGTCTCATCAGAAGTTATCTAGATTAATTCACACCAAAGATATTTTTGGTTCCTTCTGGTTAACCTGCGCCGTTTTTCGATACTATTACAATATAAACGCAAATATCTTGGACATGATATTTCTCATATATACAGATTTACTAATATTTACAATGGATATGCTGTATATAAACTGTGTTTGCATATTGAAGGCCTGTTACAAGGATATTAACAATAGCCTTCTACATATACAAGAATCCATAATAAATAAAGAACTGTCTGTTACCATATCTCACTATGAGCAGAACAATTCAATATTAATTATGAAAATTAAGTCTCTGCAAAAACAATATCTGATAATCAACAAGACAGTACAGAAGTTAAACATAATTTTCAGTTTGCAACTTCTTGCTACAATAGTAGATGGGTTTATTGAACTCGTTTTTGGACTGTACTATTACTTCGACGTAATTCAATGGTATGATAAAGTTATGAATTCGAATAAACAAATCACTAACATGTTCTTAACGGGCACGACATATCATATTACAAAGATAATGTTCTTTGTGTGGGCTTGCGAAACTGGCAAGAATCAAGCTCAAAAGATCCGTACTACGATTCACGATGTACTTAATAGTAGCAGAGATGAGCAAATAAAAAATGAGGTAGTAAAAGTGCATTGTGATTTATATATTTTTCTTGTAACATACGATACAATACTATTGTGATTTTTATGTATGATATCTACTTAGGAATAATTAAATCTTTCAATCATATGACACTTTTACAATTTAACATTACAGTTGCAGTTGTTTTCTTTACAAATATTGCATGGGGGAAATACATTTTCTACCAAAGCTTTCAATGTGGACGCAACGTTTCTCGCTGCTGTGAGTAATCGGTCGGTTATTTTAATTAATTTAAAGAAATTTAACATGTTTTTTGTTATTCTTTTAGATTGTGCGTACTACCACTACATATATGTTAATTGTGCTACAATTTTTGAAGATATCACTTTCTTGCAATTAATTTGGCTTATACAATAATGTTTAATAAATCAAGAAATTATTATTAACTTCCAAAATTTATTGATTTATTTAGACACTGTATAGTTCACAGTTCCTATTTTTAGTAATTAAATATATTGTTAGTATATGCAGAAATTATATCAATATCATTACATTAAGTACTACATTTCATAGATGATAGATTAAGAGCGCCATGGTTACTTTATGACTAACATAAGATCAAGTAATACTTTATTCTTCGTCCACTTGCTTGCAGTATTAAACTGGAACTTGTTAAGTATAAATGGAAAATAAAGAGTTTATTGTAAAAGTTGCTGTGGCATATGTGTGCTGTGGAAAAATAAATTTAAAAGAAAAAGATTTTGCAATCAAGTTTACGTTAATTCAAAGTGTGTTGGCAAGAGTAATTAATAACTTTTAGGATAATATTCATACAATTTAAATTATTGTTGGTCCGTACATACTATTTTATTAATTATGTCGATAAAATTTACAAAACCAGTGAGAAACAAAATACAAAGAAGATGGCAACTCTTTTATGCCACAGATTTTCAAAGTTTGATGCACCCCTGCTTTACATTGTGCCGCATTCTCGGAACATTCCCATACAAGATCAACAATTCGATCTTCGAGATTTCGAAACCACAATATATTATATCAATTATAATTATGTCTGCTTCATCTATTGTCCATCTGATACTCTTCTACGTATTCAATGTTTTTACAAAAACTACAAACTTTGAAACCATCACCACGTCTTTTGAAATGAATTGCTATGATGTAATAAATTGTTTTATATTAATCGTTACGCTCGTCTTGAGCAATTCACGAATGCACTTGCTACAGACAATAATGAAAATATCTTTGAAACTATCTCCGAAGTCATACCAGAAGTTATCAAGACTAATTCACGCCAAAGACATCTTTGGTTTCTTCTATCTTGCCTGTCTAAATCTTCTGTACTATTACAAAATAGGCATGAATATCTTCTTCATGATATTTTCAATGCATACAATGCTACTAGTGTTTGCAATGGATATGCTATATATGAACTGCGTTTGCATATTAAAAATCTGTTACAAGGAAATTAACACTAGTCTTCTACATATACAAGAGTTCATAATAAATAAAGAACTACGTACTACCATGTTTCACTACGAGCAGAAAAATGCATTCTTGATTATGAAAATTAAGGCTCTGCAGAAGCAACATCTGATGATCAGCAACACAGTACAGAAGTTGAACATAATTTTCAGTTCATACCTTCTAGCTACGATAGTATTAAACTTTTCTGTGGCCATTCTTGGACTGTACTTCTCCTTCAACATAATCCAATGGTACAATGGATTTATGGATATGAAGGAAGAAATCAATAACATGTTCTTAATAGGCACGACATATAGTATTATAAAATTAACGTTGCTCGTGTGGGCTTGCGAGACCGGCAAGAATCAAGCTCAAGAGATCCGTACTACGATTCACGATGTACTTAACAGCAGCAGAGATGAGCAAATAAAAAATGAGGTAATGAAAGTGCGATGTAACTTGTATATTTTTCTTACAACATATTATATACTGTATTGTGTGTCATTTTTACATATTAAATCTGCTTAAGTATAATTAAATTTTCCAATCGTATAAAATTTTTGTATTTTAACATTACAGTTGCAGTTGTTTTCTTTACAACTATTACATAGCAAAGATACATATTCTGCCAAAGCTTTCAACGTGGACGCAACGTTTCTCGCTGCTGTGAGTAATCGGTCGGTTCTTTTAATTAATTTAAAGAAATGTAACACTTTTTTATTGCTCTTTTAGATGGTGGGTACCATTACTACATATATGTTAATTGTGCTACAATTCTTGAAGATATCACAATCTTGCGATGAAAAATATGCAATTAATATTACATGAATAATGTAAGTCTATAAAGGACTTAATCGAAGAGAGATATTTTTTTTACATTTGTAAACTGTTATTCCTATAGACGTTTTATTCGTATAGATACATGCACTCGTATGTACATAGATGAAATTTTATTATGCATGTATTAAAATAATATCATATTTGTGGTAAATATTGTTTAATATTAACATAAAATATTTATACCCAATTTCAAATAAATCTTTGATGTTTTATATATTTAAATATGTCGTGAATGAGAAACAAAATAAATTTTTTAGTAAGTTATCTCTATCATTTGTATTAAATTTCTTAAATATTTTAACATTCTAACCCCAGTTTCTTGCAAATAAAGACATTATATGTGTCTGTATAATACAAATATCAGAAAATCAATACAAAGTAAAATTCATTTTCGATAATGTTAAAAAAATACATATAACCAATGTTCGGAATTTACATCTGACATCTTATTTATGAATCCTGCGCTCACCATGGGTGTATTGAAAATCGTAAGGTTAGAGACATGAAATGACATGTTAAGAATTCTTGCATGCCATTTTTAACTGGAAAGATGTAGGTAAAGAAAGACTTAAAATCACTTAGCACATTTTTAAAGTATCCGAAATTGAAAAATTATTGCACTTGATAAGAGCCAAAATCCATAGCCGAAACGTTGTGCTAATAAAGGAGGTTTTCCTGGTGCCAGTGGTGTCGAATTACTCACCCCCCATTTTAATAATTGCTGGCGGAGTAATATCATATATTGGCTTAAAAATTATTCTTTTTTCTTGACAGTTAAAAAACAACCATAAAATCTTAAGTATTTATCAATTATTGCGAAGAAGTTTGTCACGTGCCTCGATAGTATTGATGAGATGCACGCCTAGCGGCTGAGGTAATATTATTCATAGTGGCGAGGAGATTGTATAAAATGCTCGCAAGCGACAAAACATTTAAATCGGTTATCGATTTAAAAGTACGTGAATTTACTCTGTTTCACCAAAAAAGAAATTGTGTTCCAAGAAAATACTATATTGCACATAGATGTTTGTCAAACCAGCATAATAAAAATGTATAATAACAATTTAAGAACTAATATTAAATAATTTTCAGGAATTAGTAATTTATATGAACAATATATAGTTTATGTAGTTCATTTCTTATTTGAATAATAAATGCATTGTTAGTACATATCAGCAATTATATACCTATTATTACATTAAACACTGCATTTTATAGATCGAAGAACGCCATGGTTACTTCATGACTAACATACAACCAAGTAATACCTCACTCTTCTTTGTAACAATTCATTGCAGTATTAAACTGGAACTTGCTAAGTACAAATAGGAAAGAAAAGGTTTATTTCGATTGATGCATATGCAGTGGAAAAATATAGTTAAGAATTAAACTTAAAGAAAGGATTTTATAATCATGTTTGTACTAAAAGTGTGTTGAGATCGTGATTAATATAATTTTTAGGCTGATATTTAAACGACTTAAATTAATGTTCGTCTACATATAGCATTTCGTTAACTAACAGTGTTACTAAAATTTCGAAAACAAATATAAAAAGCGAAATGCAAAAATTCCTTCATGCCACAGATTTTCAAAGTTTGATGTATCCCTGTTTTACATTGTGCCGCATTCTCGGAACATTTCCATACACAATCAATGATATGATCTTTGAGACTTCAAGACCACAGTATATCTTATCGGTTATAACTACCTGTGTCTCATGTGTTTTCACTCTGACAATTCTCTATCAGCTCAATATTATTACAAAGAGTACAAACTTCGAAGCCATAACATCTTCTTTAGAAATTATCTGCTCTTCTGTACCATGTTGTTTTATAATAATTGTCACGCTCGTCTCGAGCAGTTCGCGAATGCGCTTGTTGCAGACCATAAAAGAGATCTCTTCGAGACTGTCACCGAAATCATACCAGAAGTTATCTAGATTAATTCACACCAAAGATATCTTTGGTTCCTTATGTATGATCTGCAACGTTTTTCTATACGTGTACAAAATGATGGGCTTCAATATCATCTTCATGATATTTTCAACACACGCAGTTCTACTACCATTTACAATGGATATGTTGTATATGAACTGTGTCTGTATATTGAAGGCCTGTTATAAAGAAATTAACAATAGTCTTTTATATATGCAAGAATTTATAATAAACAAGAAACCACCTGTTACCATGATGTTTTATGAGCAGAGAAATACATTCCTGATAATGAAACTTAAGACTCTGAAGAAGCAACATCTGATGATCAGCAACACAGTACAGATGCTGAACAGAAGTTTCAGTTTGCAACTTCTTGCTACGATAGTAACATGCTTCTCTGGAATCATTTTCGGACTGTACCACTATTTCCATATAGTGGAGTGGTATAATGAGATTTTAAATTTGACAGAAATAAATGAAATGATGCTAATAGGCACGATATATAGCATTGTAAAATTATTGTTACTTGCGTGGGTTTGCGAGACCGGCAAGAATCAGGCCGAAGAGATCCGTACTACGATTCATGATGTACTGAACAGCAACAAAGATGAGCAAATAAAACATGAGGTAGTAAAAGTGCAATATTACTTGTATAGTTTTCTTTTAAAATATTGCATGGTATACTGTAGTTTTTATACGTGAAATATTTAGTATAATTACATTTTTCTATCCTATGCTGAACAATTTTGGAATTTAACATTACAGTTGCAGTTGTTTTCTTTACAAATACTACATAGCAGTACGTTTTTTGCCAAAGGTCTCAATATAGACGCGAAATATTTCGCTACGGTAAGTAATCGATTGTTTGTTTCAATTACCGAAATTTAACAAATTTTTGTCATTCATTATGATTTCAGATGGTGGGTACTGTCACTACATATATGTTAATTTTGCTACAATTCATGAAGATAGCACATTCTTGCGATGGAAATTCTACAATCAATAAACTATAAATAATGTAATTTCATAAAAGGAAATAATCAAAGAAAGATTCCTTTTATATTCATAAGCACTTATTCGTATGTATACATACATGCGTGTACATATTTAACTTTATCATGCGTGTATTAAAACATTAAATCAATATTATTTTAATATAAATAGTTATATAAACATGGAATAATTATATCAAATTTTAAATAAATCTTTAATGTCTTGTATATTTAAATGTATCACGAGTGAAAAACGTATAAAATTTCTAAGAATCTAAGTATCTTTTTCGACTTATTAAATACCTTCAGCTCTGCATAATTAATGCTCACATTTGTTCAAAATAATTATCATTGAATATCATTGAAACATAAGTGATAGTACTAAAAATATCATTGAAACATAAGTGATAGTACTAAAAAAAAGTTACATTTATGGAAAATAGAGATAGACAGTTCTAAATATGAAATGCCACAGAAGTTATGTTTAAAAAATCTGTTTATATATCTCATCGTTCTGAGGCGATATTTGTTCAAAATGAAATATAATCGTTAAAAGTGTTGTTTTACTTCTTAAATCTTAAAATAAGCACTTATAAAAAGTATCTCTCTTCTATTTTTATGTTTAACATTATATTTCAAAGAGAATCAAATTGATTCTTAATAGTTGTGACATGTCTTTGTCTTAGAACATCTCATGTAATATATTGAAGGTGTACAGTTAATTTTCATTTACTAGTAATTTGCTTAAATATTCCTTGAGAAGCTTAATATAATTACTGTAATGATCACTTTCTTTCGATCGTTTATTTCATTTTATTGTTGCTGAAATACAAAAAGAACTCACTTTGACATATTTTCTTGTTCACAAAGCACGTCATACTAGCTAAATTGATTAGAAATATCAATACATTTTCATCTACATAATTAATTAGATTAAGTCTAATTGAGATAATATCATTGCTTTTACATTATGACTTAACTTATTAACATTACATTAGTTAGCTTTTTGTCCCCCACTAGAATATTATAATTTCTCGAAATATACGTAACATAGTTTAGCAGCACATTAGTGAGTAATATTATACAAAAGTTGAAAGTTTGTATTATATTTTAATACATTCACAAAATAATTTGTAATTACGATTAATCTATATTAAATTCAAAAAGCAAATGTTAATGACAACATACGTTTGATTGAGTTTATATGTATCGATGTTTTTTTTCGATAATTATTATAATACGCGTACCAGAATATCTTCTATATACTTACAAATATTAGTTAAATCTCAAATACAAAGGGCGATCTCAAATGTTCTAAATATACAATAAAAATGCGCCATACAGAATGATTATTAATAAATAATCTTTAAGGGGTGTTAATTCATATAGATATTGTGCAATTGATTCTCCCGTACTTTGTGTGTGTCTACAAGATTTGATGTATGGTTGGTACATTGTTACAATAAGATAATTTCTTTATGTACTTCACTTCGGTGACAAGTACAGATCGAAGAACGCCATGGTTACTTCACGACTAACATATGATCTTTGAGGTATTTCCCGCTACTCGACACAACAACTGCTCGTAGTTTTCAACTTAAACTTGTTACGTATAGATCGGAAAGAAGGAGCTACGCAACCGCCGTTGAACGACGAATTTCAAAACTGCATTTATAGAAGAAGTTTTCGTAATCACGCCCACATTGATGACACAGTGTATTGATAATGTGATAAATCATTTTTAGATGTGTACATTAAGTTATTGTTCTCCAGCAAAATTTCGCTTCTTATATTCAGTTTTTGTCATAATAATTTCAGAAACGAGCAAACAGCAATATGCGAAAAAGATGGCGGTTTTTTCACGCCACGGATTTTCAATCCCTGATGTGTCCTTGCTTCACAGTCTGCCGCATTCTTGGAATATTCCCATACAAGATCAACGATTCAAATTTGGAGGCTTCGGGATCACTTTACATCCTATCGACAGTTGTTATCTGCATCTTCTGCGTTTATGGGATATTTATTTTCTACGAGCTCGATAGTTTCGGAATAATGATGTCTGTAGGCGTACCTAAATCTCTTGAGCGTTACAGTTTTTATACACTCAGTAGTTTCGTGGTGATCGTCACGTATGTCTCGAGGAATCCACGACTGCTCTTGCTACAAACCGTCCTGGATATCTCTTCGAAACTACCGCCGGAATCATATCAAAAGTTATCCAGGCTAATTCATATCAAGGACATTTTTGGTGTCTTCGCCATGATCATCCTGGCAATAATATGTATCGTTAAGTTTTCTCTGTATTCAATCTTGCTAACAATATTTGCAACGTATCTCTCCTTATTGCTATTTGAAATGGACATGCTATACATGAATTGCGTGTGTGTATTGAAAATCTGTTTCAAGAAAATTAACGATAATTTGGAGAAGGTGCAGGAACTCGTGATGAGTGATAAACCTCATCTACTCAGGCGGATCTACCACGAGCAGAGAAATCCATTTCTGCTGATGAAACTTAAAACCTTGAAGAAGCAACATCTGATAGTCAGCGACACAGTTCAGATGCTGAACAAGATATTCAGTTTGCAGCTCATTGTTACTATAGTCATAAGTTTCTCTGAGATTACTTTTAACTTGTACTTCTATATAGTCTTGTTCATGGCCAAAGGGGAACAAGAATTTTTATACGCGTTTTTCATGATGTCCGTGATATATTATGCTATAAAAATAGTATTGATAGTATGGGCTTGCGATAGTGGTAAAGATCAAGCTGCAAAGATTGGTATCACCGTTCACGATCTGCTTAACAGCACCAGCGATAAGCAAATCAAAGACGAGGTAGTAAAATGTAATTTAATTTGTCCACTTTTATCAAGTACTAATGTACTTTATATATTCATTCAAATTAATAGTTATATTTCTCAATACACTTGCTTATTAATTTAGTTATTTACTGATTATTATAATATTATATTATAATAACGTTTATTATAATAACGTTACAGTTGCAACTATTTTCTATGCAAATACTGCATCGAGAAAATGTATTTTCTGCAAAAGGTCTTACTGTGGATGCAACGCTTCTCACTGCGGTGAGTAGCCGATTATTTGCTTCAAACAATTAAATATTGTTGACTTTTACGACATTTCTTTTAGATGGTGGGTAGCATCACTACGTATTTGTTAATCTTAATACAATTCTTGGTCACAACGCATTCTTGTGACAGAAAAGCTATTAATATGACAGAAATAATCTAAAAAAATTATAAAACATAAAGAGTTCTATATACCTATATAATGAAAAATGTTTGATTAAACTCTGTAAAAGCATTTATGTTCATTCTTGTATTATACATTGAATATAATTGCTCTGTATTTTATATATGCATATAGCGACAGTTATACATATACGTGCATATGTAGAGACATCTGATAAAACTTTATATTACATATTTAATATATTGACAAAATACTTTAAATAATGATTTAAAAAGTTTCACTTTAATTAATGTATTTTTAGTGCACCGTGTTGGTTATACGAAATATATTTCGGAAAAATGTTGCCTTGGACTTATTATAAATATCCTATATCCAAGCGTCCCGCATTGGAGAAACAAGAGTATGCAGTACATAATTTTCAGCACATTTTTCCATATTACTACAAAGTGCTAGTCTTTTTTCTTACTGTCAACGACTAATCTACGGAATTTTTTTCTATCATTTCGCTTGCAACAAAATTGTAAAGTTTCCTTTGAGACTTCACGGTAACATTATTTCTGAGAACGCAAGTAACGCAATTTATAGGCCTTTAATGTACAACACTACGTACAAATCAAGTTTGGTTTAATATGTTCAGATATGCAAAAACAATTTGTGGCGCACATTTGCCTATAAAGTTGACCAAATGTTGACAGTAATGTATTTTTTATCGGCAGAAAATGTATGCGTCAATATTTTTTAAATTAGGAACATAAAAATTTTCTTTATATTTTATCTAAAATAAAAACTGAAACATCTCTAGAAGTAACAGCATAAAGACATCGGACATTTTCTAAGGAATTTAAAATTCGATAATCGTTATTAATGAAACTTTAAAAACTCTAATGTACGTAATTGCACCTAATGATGTTACACATACTCAATACGCTGTTACACGTGTGAACTAATGAGTTGCATGCTACCAGCAATTACAGCATCATTATTATTTTACACACAGCATTTCAGAATGATATTTGCCGATCGAAGAGTGTCATGGTTACTTTACGCCTAACACATCATCTCTTTAGTTCTGTATTGTTACTTGACGTGCTCGCAGTTTTAAATTGAAAGGCACCGAATGTAAATTAACAATAAGGAGACCATTCTGGTATACGCACTTGTTGAAAGACAACTATTTAAATAGTTGTATTTATAATAGAATTCTCACTTGTATATATGTTAAAGTGCATAAACAATACGACTAATACGGTCCTTAGATTGTCATCAATAACATAAATTATTGTTCTTCATACTTCGATAATGTTCAGTTCATCGTCAAAATTTCAAGAGCAAACCGAGAGTAAAATGTGGAAAAGATGGCAACTATTTCACGCCACAGACTTTCAGTCTTTGATGTCCCCTGGCTTCATCTTCTGTCGCATCATCGGAATATTTCCGTATAAGATTAACGCTTCGACCATCGAGACTTCTAGACTGCGCAACATTCTGCTGGCCTTTTTTCTTTGCGTGTTCTGCATTTTCGAATTGAACACTTTCCATAAGATTCTCATTACTAAAACAGTCAGTTATGGAGACATAACCAAGAATCTTGAGGCTATCAGCTATTTTATATTCGGTGGTTTTATAGCGATCATTACGTATGTCTTAAGCGGTCCTAGAATGCGTGTACTACAGGCCATGCTGGAGATCTCTTCAAAACTACCTTCAGAAACATATCAGAAACTGTCTAGATGGATCCACGTAAAGGACATCTTAGGCAGCTTCTTCGTAATTATACAGGAATCCGTATATTATTTCAGAGAAACTGAACATTTCATGTGTTTTGTGTTATCAACATACATCGCTTTGTTGGTGTTTAATATGGATATGCAATATTTGAATTGCGTTTGTGTATTAAAAGCCTGTTTCAAAAGAATCAACGACAATCTGGCACATTTGCAAAATGACATGAACGATAAATCATATGTTTCCAGACTGATTTGCGACACGCAGGAAAATCAGTTATTACTGATAAAGCTCAAGACCCTGAAAAAGCAACATTTAATATTCAGCGATAGAATGCAAATGCTAAATGTAATTTTCAGTCTACAACTCCTTGCTACTACAGCCTTGACCTTTACCGAAACCACTTTTGAAATATATTCTCATGTGATTCGATGGCAAAATGGAGTGTCTATAATGTTGGATAATAAGTTTCGTGATATGTTCTTCTTAACAAGTATAGCATTTTGCCTTTTAAAATTAATATTGATAGTGTGGGCCTGCCAAACCAGCAAGAACCAAGCATTTGAGATGGCCACCACTATTCATGATGTACTTAACTGTACCAGCGATGAGCAAATCAAAGAAGAGGTAGGAAAAATGTAATTTAATTCGTATATATTTTGCTATGAAAATGTCTCGTGCTAATGCAATTTTATATATATTAAATCCACTTGATTTATGTAATTACATTTTCCAATTCTTTATTTTGCAATCCGACATGGCAGCTGCATATATTTTCTTTGCAAATATTGCATTGCGCACAAAGTACATTTTCCACGAAAGGTCTTACTGTAGACGCGACGCTTCTTGCTGCGGTGAGTAATAGATCATTTGCATTAATAAGATATATATTGTTTATTCTTTTCTTATTTTTAGATGGCGGGTAGCATTACAACGTACATATTAATCTTGGCACAATTTATGGTCATGTCGCATTCTTGCGATAACAAGACTGCAAACAATATTACCCAAATAACTATCTAGAAAGAGGTACATAACATAAAAGATACCCTTTACTAGATAATAAAATACTTTCTCCTATATCATTCTGATTAAAATATAATGATATGATGTTTTAAGTTCAAAAAAGTTCATGTGTATAAATATATGCATAAAGAAAAATTATTTGAAAAGTGTACACTTTTATTATATATTTTGACACTTAGTTGCAAATAAATTTTTAATACGTTTAAATTGTTTAAATGTATTGATGTTATAAATGCATCTCTATGAAACATCTTTTGTATTTATGAAATATCTAATATAATATTTCTAACTTAATTTCGCGATGAAATTAAAACAAAGATGCACATATCACTTAATTGATTTAAAATAAACTTTGTGACTATGTAAAAATATATGTAATTAATATTTTAAATTCTCAAATCTAAATGACGTATTGTTCTGCAATGATTTACACAATAAAGTAACACCAATATGAACATATGTAATATAAGTTTTAATTTTATTTCAGTGTATATATCTATTGTCATGTCAGCACTGAGTAAATTCAATGATAGATAAGATATTTCAAGATTTGAAATCATATTTCGATTCACGACATTCACAAGAGTTAATTGCATAGCTTTCCCGTAATTATAATAATTTCGAAACATTCTTTTCATTATTAAACGTTTGTTTTTGCTTCATAATTATACTTCAAATAAACATAATACTTAATTTTTAAAACAGTCAAAATATATCTTGATAAATTTTTCTTGTAACATGTTACGTAGTCGATGCATTATCATAATAATAAAGTTCACATTTTACTACTCGAGTTTTCTCTATTGTGATACACAGAAGATCAATCATCTTGAGATGGTTTCTTGTCCATAAAGCATGACATATCTGTTGATTTTATCAGTCTGGGGAATACATCAATTAATTCAAATCTACATTATTGCTTAAATTAATTACAATCAGGTTAATAGCATTGCCTATATCGTCTATACATTGTAACTCGATTCATCAATATTACATTTGTTATGCTTATGACTTCCATTGAGGTATCAACAATTCTCAAAATGTGTGCAATAAAATAAATAGTATTTCAATGTATGTACAATAAGAAAAAATCCAGAGCTTGATGTATTACATTTTAACGAACAATAAAAATAACTTTAATTAGATAATCAACTATTAAACTAAGGTTGAAAAATAAATACCGGTAATACAATTTATTTTAATTGAGCCAAAAATAAGTGACAGTTTCGTATTGAAAATATACACGCACATGTGTACGCGTGCGCGCGCGTATTATTACTTTATGCGTAGTACTTTTTCAGAATGACAAATGCAGATCGACGAGCGTCATGAAGTTACTTCACTGCTAACATACATCTCTGAGTCATATCTCGTTACTCGATGCAATTGCACTTTTAACTTTATGCTCGCCAAATGTACGAGTAGAACAGCAACCATCTGGTTTGCACATTCGTAAAAAATTAACTTAAGACGAGCATAGTAGAAAGAAGGTTTTGTAATCATATTCCCATTCTAGAGTGTATTGCTAACATGTTTCAGAATTTTCATATTGTTGTCTAGAATTTGAAATACTACTCTGTAATTGTTCTCTAAGGATAATTTGTTGATCATTTAACTTGTTATCGTATACCAAGGCCGACATAAGAATAAAAAAGGGCACAGACTTCTTTTCTGGAAGAATTCTTTGTGCTATCTGGATATACATATACAAGTATATGTATTATAATGTACAATAGTAATGCAAATATAAATAAAAGTTCAATTAATTTTGTTTTAGAAATGTTTCGATTCTATAAATAAGAAATAATAATACAAATAATAATACAATTTTAATCAAGTAAAAAATATATACTGACATCTTTATATTAAAAATTGAGATAATAAATATTAAAAATCAACATTATTAATTATATAAATATAATATATTATAAATATTGACGTTGTAATATGAAATAATAAACGTCTAGTTTAAAATAGAATGTTTGTAAAAGTTACTAATCCATATAGATTCTAAGTAGTTCTTACTATCGCGATCTTTAGGTACTAAATAATGATTCGTATGTCAACAATCACTCTATTAAATTACATGCGCATGCGACCTAAGAGGAACGCTGGTCGAAGAAAGCCATTCACTTCACGACTAGCAAATGCTCTATGTGAGTCGCGTTTCGTTATTCGATGCAGCAACTACGTTTTGCAACATAGTTTTAAATTTAATTCATCAAATGTAAAAAGATCTCGCGCAGTGCATGCTAATATGTGTATTTGTGGTGGAAAGACAAAATTTAAAAACAGTTCACATTTTTTCGCCCTCGTATTAATATTAAAGTGCATTAGTGACAAAGTGATTAATAATCTTTAAGCACTAGTTTATTATTAATAGATAAAGTTGTTGTTATCCAAATCCCGAAGCTTCAAAGAAGATTTGGGATTGTGAGTTTTGGTTTTATAGGTTTCGATACTTGGACTTTGTAGTTTCAGAGCCTCTAGTCATCATGTTACTGTAAGTTTTCTCTTTATTGTGTTTCTATATTGTTATCCTACATAGTAGTATAATGCTTTTATTAGTATTGAAATTATCCCAACTTCAATGTGCGATATCTCGGCCAGGAAAAATCCTTTTGGGACGTGCAAAAACGGAAGTTGAAGGGGAAGACTTGTACTATAAAATACCATGAACAGTAATAAGCAAAAAAATTTCCTCTACGTGTGACATGAGCTCAAATATGCCTCAAAATGGCATTTTTTTGCACATTTAAGTTAGAATATCTCAAAATCCTGACGTGCCAGAGAATAAAGGACAACGGATTCGTGTTCAGCACACAAAACCTCGGGGATTATCTAGTTTAATCTTTGGGTATGAAAAAGTTTTTTGTCGGCCTGTGTTATTGCAATGACTGACTTTTTGGTACTCTCCTAATGGATGAGCTAGAAGAATAATGCCAAGAGTGGTCGTACTAATTAATCAATTACATTCAATTATTTATATGCTGTATTGCAAGGATGATACATGCTATTCGAAGAACTCTATGGTTACTTTACGCCAACAAACAATTCACCAGTCATGTCTTATGATCTTAGCAACTGTAGTCTTAAATTTAATACACTAGCAGTAACAAATTACGACCAGTGTGTGTTAATTTATATACTAATGGTACAAAATTAGAATTTAAAGACTACTCACTTAAAAAGGAGCTTCTTGAAATAAAACTTATATTAATGCTAAAGTGCATCGAGATAACAATAAAGTACTTAATAAATTTGAGTAGTAATCTATTATTAATATATTAAATTGTTGTTCTCTCGCATTGTTAATTACACTTATTTAAAATTTCGCAGAAATTTCATGGATGGCTTAAGAACAAACAAAAGGAAGACAAAATGGAGATTATTCCACGCCACAGATTTTCAATCCTTAATATATCCCAACCTCACTTTAAGCAAAATTCTTGGAATATTTCCGTACAGAATTAAGGCTTCGTCTTTTAAACTTTCTAAACCGCGTTACATTCTATGGACAATTATTTTCTGTGTGATCTGTGTTTATGAGCTGACAGAATTGTATAAACTTAATTTTTCTGGAAGAAACAAGAGCAACACGACCGATACTATTTCGCTTAATTTCTCACTTCTGTATGGAATGTTCATAACGGCCATCTCATATATCTTCAGTCGTCCACGAATGCATTTATTCCAGACTATATCAAATATTTCATCGAATCTGTCCCAACAGTCGTATCACAAACTGTCCAAATTAATACACGTTAAGGACATCTTTGGTTTTTTCTATGTGTTCTGGCGAGGGTCACTGTTTGTCACGAAATCTGGCACAATTATCGATATTTTTCTCCAAATACCGCGAGTATACATCACCTTATTAGCGTTTCAGATGGACATGTTATACGTAAATTGTGTTTGTGTCTTAAAAGCCTGTTTCAAGGAAGTCAATAACAATTTGGAAAATCTGCAGGAGCTTATGTTGAATAATACTCCCAGATGGATCTATCACAAACAAAGATATCTATTTTCGATAAAACTCAAAACTCTGCAAAAACAACATCTGATGATCAGCAGCACAGTGCAGATGTTGAACGTAATCTTCAGTCTGCACCTCCTTGCTACTATAGTCTTATCCTTCAAACAGATTATATTCCTCGTGTATTTCTATGTAGTACAATGGCAAGATAGAATATCCTTCAAACTGAATTCAATTTATAATATGTATTTTATGGTATACGTATTGTATTACTTTATAAGAATAGCGTTGATAGTATGGGTTTGTGAAACCAGCAAAAATCAAGCGGAAAAAATCAGGACTACCATTCACGATGTGCTTAACAGTACCAACAATGTGCAAGTCAAAGATGAGGTAATAAAGGAAAATGTAATTTAGTTTTAAAAAATTTTATAATGTTTTATATTTTGTACGATACCTATTTATATCTAAATAATTATTATATTTAATCAATTTATATTTAAGATTATCTTATTCTCGTATTTATTATTGTTTTTATTTGTCGTTGCAGTTGCGGCTATTTTCCTTGCAAATATTGCATTGTAAAAATACATTCTCCGCGAAAGGTTTCACTGTGGATGCGACGTTGCTCACTGGGGTGAGTGATCAAATATGTGGCTTAATTCATTAAATGTATACTATTTACATATTTCATGTATGACTTTTAGATAATGAGTGGCATTACTACGTACATATTAATCTTAATACAATTCTTGGGTATTTCTCATTTTTGCGACGAAAAGACTGCAATTAATATTACAGAAGCAATTTAACTAAAAGCAGTTATAGAATTGAACAAGGAAATGCATCTATAAATATTGTAAACTCTTAGTTTTAAATATTAAATAATTTTTTGAAAACTTATCGTTGTCTATGTTTTATGATCATATAATTTACTTTATCTGTAATCTATATATGCTGAATGATATCGCATATCGTAATAGTTGCACTTTATTACACTATGTACTGCATCCCAAGGGTATGATAAGCATTGATCGAAGAACACAACTGTTCTTCAAGAATAACAAATAATTTCAACTGCAGCAGTTCACACGTGACACTCCACTGATCATGTTTAATCTGTCGTGGAATTTCCAAAGACGAATCAAGAGCAAAATCTGGAAAAGATGGCAACTGTTTCACGCCACAGACTTTCAATCGTTGATGCATCCCTGTTTCACCTTCTCTCGTATTCTTGGAATATTTCCGTACAAGGTCAACGCTTCAACCTTTGAGACATCAAGATCGCATTACATCCTATTAGTTATCTTCATCTGTTTTCCTTGCATTTATGAACTAGCAAGGATTTATGAGATGAATATGATAAATATCAGACCGACCATCCCTAGAACAATTCAGGATCTCTGCTTTTATACGCTGGAAAGTTTTATAGTTATTGCCTGGTGTATTTTGAGTGGCCCACGAATGCGCTTACTACAAACTATATTAGAAGTGTCTTCAAAATTGCCTCCAAAATCTTATGAAAAACTATCTAAATTGATACACTTCAAGGATATTTTCGGTTTTTTCTTTTTAATAGGATTGGTCATATCATACTCAAGAAGATTTCTTCTAAAAGAATATGTTGTTTACACTTTTATCTTACAAATAATGGAACATTATATCGAGATCCAGATATTTGAAATGAATATGCTGTATGTCAATTGTGTTTGTATATTAAAAGCTTGTTTCAAAAGAATCGATGACAATCTGACGAATCTACGGGAACTCATGATAAATGACAAGTCGCATCTTCCCAGATTGATTTATCACCAGCAAAGAAACCCACTTCTACTAAAAGAACTCAAGACTCTGGAAAAGCAGTATCTGATGGTTAGTGACACAGTGCAGATGTTGAATAAAATTTTCAGTCCACAGCTCCTTGCAACCATTGCTACAACCTTCATCGAGATTACTTTTGAACTATACGTAAATATAGTGGAGTGGAAACATGGGCTGTCTATCAATCTGTCTAAACAGATTTATGACACAATAATCATGACTTACACATTATATCTTATTATAAGAATAATTATAATCGTGTGGGCTTGCGAAACCAGTAAGAATCAAGCTACAAAGATTAACACCACTGTTCATGAAGTTCTTAACAGCACCAGTAACGAGCAAATTAAAAATGAGGTAAATTCAAAATTTAAAAAAATGACTGATATTTTAAAAAAATATTTTGTAGTAATATAATTTTTATAAAATGTAATCGATTTATAAGTAAATTTTTCAGATCTCGTTGTAATATATGTATCTGTAAATATTTTTCCATTTGGTATTGCAGTTGCAACTATTTTCTTTGCAAATACTTCATCGCGACAACACATTTTCTACGAAATGTTTTATTGTGAATGCACCGCTTCTGTCTACGGTAAGTAATTAATTATTTACCCCAATATATGATTGAAATGTCTTGAAATTGAACCATATACTTTTATTTGTTTTAGATGGTGGGTATTATTACTACGTATCTTTTAATTTTAATACAATTTTTGGCCTCATCACATTCTTGCGACGAAGAGACTGCAGCCAACGTTATGCAATCTAATTAAAAGAAGGAAATATTTAAAAAATATATTTTATAAAATATTATTTTTCTTATTGCTTCGAAGATAATGTAATCGTTTAAAATTTTATTTTTATATAATTAAGTTTAAATGCATATTTGTATCAATAACAAATTTCAAATATATAATTAAGTTAATACGATTATTTGCTTTACCACATGGTGTGTATAAGACAAAATAAGTATGTATTTAAAAAATATTTTTACAAACTTACTAAGTGCGCAACATAAACTTGTTAATTTCTTTGTGTTAAAATTAAAACAAAATAAAATAAATACTAATTTAGAATTTATCTTATATCAATCTAATCTACATACAAAAGAGTACACGTAATTATTCCATCAAAAACAACGTCTCAGATTATATCTTCGATAAGTTTATCGATAAGCGATCGTAGTTTAGCAATATGATCTAAAATAAGATATTATTTCAAAACTTGTGAAACTAAAATAAGTAACATTTATCCGACACTTCATGTTTTGCGTGCTCAAATATATATTCGTAATGGGCAATTAAGATACGCAGAGTGATACAGGTCATATTATATTACATTTCATTACTTTATGTACTGCATCACAATTGACATAAACACTGTTCAAGGAGCTCCATGGTTACTTCGTGCCAACAAATGATTCATATCTTACGATTTGTAGCAGCAACTCGCAGTTTTATGCTTAAACTCAACACGAATAGTTCATATATTAGTAGACCTCACGCTTTGTGGAAAAATAAAAACTACACTTAGAAAAGAATCTTTCGTAACGATACATTAACCGAAGTGTTTACTGACAATGAGATATTTATATAATTGATAATGTGATCCAGCACTTTTCCAGCAGTTTTTTCGAAGAACCTCGATCATGTTAAATCTGCCATCGAAACTTCAAAGACTAGTTAAAATAAAAAAAGAAGAAGTGATTGATGGTTATTTCATGCTACGGATTTTCAATCCTTGATGTATCCTTGTTTATTCTTTTGTCGCATTCTCGGAATATTTCCATACAAGATCAACGGTTCATCTTTTGAAACTTCTAAACCGTGCTACTTTCTATCAACTATAGTTATGTGTGTCTTCTGTAGTTGCGCGCTAATAATAATAACAGACATTCCCGGATGGTTCCGTGTCGTACAACTCAATATACCCAAAGCTATTGAAATTAATTGCTTTTACATTTTCGGAAGTTTCATAACGGTTGTTGCGTACGTTTTAAGCGGGCCTCAAAAGCGGTTGCTACAGACTATACTGAACAACTCTTTAATACTTCCTTCGAAGACGTATCAGAAACATTCTATGCTGATCCACGCCAAGGACATTTTCGGTTTCTTCATTTTGTCCGCGAATCTATTAATCGGCTTTTACAACTTTACAATGTCTATCTGGATCAAATTGTCTTCAATATATATCACTCTGGTAACATTTATGACAAATATGCTGTACGTAAATTGCGTTTGCGTATTAAAGGCTTCTTTCAAGAAAATCAACGACGATTTGGCAAATTTACTCATAACGAACGATAAACTGCATTTAGTCAGGTGGATTCATCGTGAGCAAAGTAATCCTTTGTTATTGATGGAGCTTAGGGCCCTGAAGTAGCGACATTTAATTATTAGCGATTCAGTGCAGATGTTAAATATAATTTACAGTCCGCAGCTTCTCGCAATAATAGCCATAGTATTCGTCTATATTACCTTTGAAATATATTCCAATATAGTATTATGGCAAAATGGATATATCAACTGGACATCTAAGAACGTTAAAATGTACGTAATAGTCGATGCTGCGTACCATCTTGTAGAAATATTATTGATAACATGGGTTTGCGAAACGGGTAAAAACGAAGCCATAAAAATTAGCACTACCGTTCACGATGCAATTAATAGCACCATTGACGGACAAATCAAATATGAGGTATTAAAAATTTTTGAAGCTTCTATTTATCTTTTTTAATATTCCGTGTGTGGTGATACATTTTTCACTTACGAGATATAACCATACAATTTATAATTCCTTTAATTTACTACTTGTAAACGTTCTTTGTCTGGTATTGCAGTTGCAGCTGTTTTCTTTACAAATAATGCATTGTGATAATACGTTCTCCGCGAAGGGTCTTACTTTGGATGCGAAGCTTCTTACTGCAGTAAGTAAACAATAATTTGCTACAGTTGCTTAAATATCTTTACATTAAATTAAAACGTTTACTTTATGATTTTATCTTAGATAATTGGTACGATTGCTACACATCTTTTAATTTTAATACAATTCTTAATCACCTCTCACTCTTGCGACGGAAAGGCTACACTCAACACTGTCAAATCTAATTTTAAAACGGATTAAATAATGAATTTGTAACAATATTATCTTTCTTACTGTTCCGAGCATAATCTAATCGATTAATGTTTTATATTTATATAAATAGTTTTAATGTTAATGTGACTATATGGATGGATATAAGTATTATATGTGTATATGTTTATATATGTATGTGTACAATACTAGTATAGATGTCATAGATATTCATATGATCAAATATGAATCTCGTAATGGACGATCTCAATGCCCAAAGCAATATAGCTAATATTACATTAATTAGGGACATTCCATTACTTTATGTGCTGCATCACGAGGGCGATACATGTTGTTCGAAAAGCTCTATGGTTACTTCATGCCAACAAATAATACAGTTTCATGATTTGTAGCAGCAACTCACAGTTTTAAGGCTAAACTCAACACGAATAGTTCATATATTAGTGGACCTCACGCTTTGTGGAAAAATAAAAACTGCACTTAGAAAAGAATCTTTCGTAATAATATATTAACCGAAGTGTTTACTGACAATGAGATATTTATATAACTAATAATGTGATCCAACAATTTTCGAGCAGTTTTTCGTAGAATCTCGATCATGTTAAATCTGTCATCGAAATTTCAAAGACAAGTTGAAATCAAGAAAAGGAGAAGTGATTGGTGGTTATTTCATGCTACGGATTTTCAATCCTTGATGTATCCTTGTTTCTTTTTTTGTCGCATTCTCGGAATATTTCCATACAAGATCAACGGTTCATCTTTTGAAAATTCTAAACCGTGTTACCTTTTATCAACTATAGTTATGTGTATCTTCACTAGTTGCGCGCTAATAATAATAACAGACATTCCTGGATGGTTCCAGGTCTCAACAGTATCAAAAATGATTGAACTTCATTTTGTTTATATTTTCGGCAGTTTCCTAACGATTGTCACGTACGTTCTAAGCGGTCCACAAAAGCAATTACTACATACCATACTGAAAAACTCTTTAATACTTCCTTCGAAGACGTATCGGAAACATTCTATGCTGATTCATGCCAAAGACATTTTCGGTTTTTTCATTTTATTCGGGCATTTATTAATAATCATTATTTCTGCAATTCATATGTCTCTCTGGGCGAAGTTATCTTTAATGTACAACATTCTAGTAAAATTTGTGATGAATATGCTGTACATAAATTGCGTTTACGTATTAAAAGCTTGTTTTAAGAAAATCAACGACGATTTGAAAAATTTACTTGTAACAAACGACAAACATTTAGTTAAGTGGATCTGTCGCAAGCAAAGTAACCCTTTATTGTTGATGGAGCTCAACGCCTTGAAGAAACGACATTTGACGATTAGCGCTTCAGTGCAAATGCTAAATATAATTTACAGTCCGCAGCTCCTCGCATCCTTAGTTATAATATTCATCCGTATTACTTTTGAAATATATTCCAATGTTGTACATTGGCAAAATGGATATGTCGTATGGTCATCCGAGAACATTCAAATAAACGTAGTGATATACCTTTGGGCTTATTTTATTTTGAAAATATTACTGATGGCATGGGTTTGCGAAACTGGAAAAAATGAAGCCATAAAGATTAGCACTACCGTTCACGATGCAATTAATAGGACCAGTGACGAACAAATTAAATATGAGGTACCAAAAAGTTGAAATTTGTTTAGTTAATTTTTAATATTCTGTATGGTGATACAATTTTTTTAAAGATGTATCCACACAATAATTACTTTCATTTACTATGTGTAAATGTTTTCTTATCTGAATTTGCAGTTGCAGCTGTTTTCTTTACAAATAATGCATTGTGATAATACGTTCTCCGCAAAAGGTCTAGCTCTGGACGCGAGGCTTCTTACAACTGTGAGTGAGAAATTATTTGCCACAATTGCTTAAATATTTTTACCTTAGGTTATAACATTTACTTTATGATTTTGTTTTTAGATGATCGGCACTATCGCATCATATCTTTTAATTGCAATACAATTCTTGATTACTTCGCATTCTTGTGATGGAAAGACTGCAATCAACGTGACACGAGCAATCTTTTAAATCATCAGAAATAATCTCATAAAAAGTACATAGTTGATAATAGAAATTTATTCCATTCTCTAAGCGAGTATGGAAAATAATTCTTGCGATATATTGCGATTTTCTTTTCTTACAATTTTGTTTAGCAATAGGCTTATATAAGCAATTCAGTGATTAATGGTTTCATCTCAGTTTACTCTGTAGGTCAACAGTGATTTTTTCTACACATTATTCTTTGAGAGTTTAGTACTTCTTCAAACAATGAAGTACCAGGTAAAGCGTAATATCTTCATTAGACTTAAATCTGTTGGATATTCTGATTTGAAATCATTTAATATCAATAAACCTTTCAAATTTTGTCAAATTTTGTAAAATTAAAGTATGTAACAAGTATTCGACACGTGTTTTGTGTGCTCAAATACAATATAATTCCCCTAATGGGTGATCTAGATGTTCAGAGTAATATGGATCATACTATTGTACATTATGTCAATTACATTCCATTATTTTATGACTGCATAATAAGGATGAGACATACTGCTCACGGAGCTCCATGGTTACTTCGTGACAACAAATAATTCGCGGGTCATATTTTATGATCTGTGGCAGCAACCTGCAGTTTTAAGCTTAAACTCAACACGATTAGTTCGTATATTAGTGGACATTAGAAAAGAAGCTTTCGTAATTATGCTTATGGTACAATTGAAGTGCTTATTACTGGACAATCAGATTTGTACAATTATATAATTGGTAATGGGACCCAAGAATTTTCTTGTACAACTTCAATCATGTTAAATCTGCCGTCGAAATTTCAAAGACAAGTTACAAGCAAGAAAGGAATAAGTGATTGGTGGTTTTTCCATGCTACGGACTTACGATCCTTGATGTATCCTTGTCTCGTCTTTTGCCGTATTCTCGGGATATTCCCATACAAGATCAACAGTTCGTCCTTTGAAACTTCTAAACCATACTTCTTTCTATCAATTATGAATATGTGTGTTTTCTGTCTTAGTGCGCTGATAATAATACCAGATATTCCTGAAGCGTACCAGGTTAAACAATCACATGTATCTAAAATTATTGAAATTAACTGCTTTTATATTTTCGGCGGTTTCATAACTGTCGTTGCGTACATTTTAAGCGGACCACAAAAGCGTTTACTACAGACTATACTGAACAACTCTTCAAGACTTTCTTTGAAAACGTATCAGAAACACTCTATGCTGATCCACGCCAAGGACATTTTTGGTTTTTGTATTTTACTCGTGCATTCATTGATCTGCTTTTACATGTACCCAACGCCTATTTGGGTTAGAGCGTTTTCAACGTACGTGACTCTAATAATATATATGACAAATATGCTGTACATAAATTGCGTTTACATATTAAAAGCATGTTTCAAGAAAATCAACGATAATTTGGCAAATTTATTCATAACGAACGACGAACATTTAGTCAAGTCGATCTGTCGTGAGCAAAGTACCCCTTTATTGTTGATGGAGCTCAACACCTTGAAGAAACGACATTTGATGATTAGCGATTCAGTACAAATGCTTAATATAATTTACAGCCCGCAGCTCCTCGCAACCATAGTCATGGTATTCATTCAGATTACTTTTGAAATATATTTCAATGTAGTACAATGGCAAAATGGCTATATCACATGGACATCTAACAACATTGAAATGGCTGTGCTAGTTTACATTTGGTTTCATCTTATAAAAATATTATTGATAACATGGGTCTGCGAAACCGGAAAAAACGAAGTGACAAAGATTAACACTACCGTACATGATGCACTTAACAGCACCAGCGACGAACAAATCAAATATGAGGTATTCAAAATTTTTTACGTGCATTTATCTTTTTTAATTCCGTATAGTGGTTTTCAACTTACAAGTAACCATACAATGTATAATTACTTTCTTTTACTATTTGTAAATGTTTTTTATCTATTATTGCAGTTGCAGCTATTTTCTTTACAAATAATGCATTGTGATAATACATTCTCCGCGAAGGGTCTCATTCTGGACGCGAGGCTTCTTACAACCGTGAGTGAGAAATTATTTGCCACAATTGCTTAAATATTTTTACCTTAGGTTATAACATTTACTTTATGATTTTGTTTTTAGATGAGTGGTTCTGTCACTACACATCTTTTAATTTTAATACAATTTTTGATCACCTCGCATTCTTGCGATGGAAAGACTACATTCAATGTGACACAAGCAACCTGAATCACCATAAATAGTCTCATAAAAACTACATAGTTGGTAATAGAAATTTATTCTATTCTCTAAGCGAGTATGGAAAATAATCCTTGCGATATATTACGATTTTCTTTTCTTACAATTTTATTTAGCAATAAGCTTATATAAGCAATTTAGTGATTAATAGTTTCATCTCAGTTTACCCTGGAGGTCAACAGTGATTTTTTCTACACATTATTCTTTGAGAGTTTAGTACTTCTTCAAACAATGAAGTACCAGGTAAAGCGTAATATCTTCATTAGACTTAAAACTGTTGGATATTCTGATTTGAAATCATTTAATATCAATAAACCTTTCAAATTTTGTAAAATTAAAGTATGTAACAAGTATTCGACACGTGTTTTGTGTGCTCAATTATAATATAATTCCTCTAATGGATGATCTAGATGTTCAGAGTAATATGGGTCATACTACATTATATCAATTATATCTCATTATTTTATACCGCATAATAAGGATGATACATACTACTCACGAAGCTCCATGGTTACTTCGTGTCAAACAAATAATTTGCGCGTTATATTTTATGATCTGTGGCAGCAACTTGCAGTTTTAAACTTAAACTCAACACGATTTGTTCGTATATTAGTGGACATTAGAAAAGTAGCTTTCTCAATTAAGCGTATGGTACAGGTGAAGTGCTTGTTACTGGACAATGAGATTTATATAATTGGTAATGGGATCCAACGATTTTCTTGTATAAAACTTCGATCATGTTAAATTTGTCATCGAAATTTCAAAGACAAGTTAAAAGCAAGAAAGGAATAAGTGATCGGTTGTTAATACATGCTACGGACTTTCGATCCTTGATGTATCCTTGTCTCGTTTTTTGTCGTATTCTCGGAATATTCCCATACAAGATCAACAGTTCGTCCTTTGAAATTTCTAAACCATACTTCTTTCTATCAATTATAAATATGTGTGTTTTCTGTCTTTGCGCACTGATAGTAATGCCAGATATTTCTGAAGGGTTTCATATCAAACAATCACATATATCTAAAATTATTGAAATTAACTGCTTTTATATTTTTGGCGGTTTCATAACTGTCGTTGCGTACATTTTAAGCGGACCACAAAAGCGTTTACTACAGACTATACTGAACAACTCTTCAAGACTTTCTTTGAAGACGAATAAAAAATATTCCATGCTGATCCACGCCAAGGACATTTCAGTTTTTTTTATTATACTCGTGAATTATGTAATCTACTCTTGCAACTACACACTGTCTATTTGGGCTACAGTGTCTGCAACGTACATGACTCTGACAATGTATATGACGAATATGCTGTACATAAATTGCGTTTACATATTAAAAGCATGTTTCAAGAAAATTAACGACGATTTGACAAATTTATTCATAACGAACGACGAACATTTAGTCAGGTCGATCTATCGTAAGCAAAATACTCCTTTATTGTTGATGGAGCTCAACGCCTTGAAGAAACGACATTTGATGATTAGCAATTCAGTGCAAATGCTAAATATAATTTACAGTCCGCAGCTCCTCGCAACCATAGTCATAGCAGTCATTCATATTATTTTTGAAATATATTTCAATGTAGTACAATGGGAAAATGGGTCTATCATATGGACATCTGAGAATGTTATAATGTCTGTACTAGTTGATCTTTGGTTTCATCTTATGACAATGTTACTGCTAACATGGGTCTGCGAAACCGGCAAAAACGAAGCGACAATGATTGGGACTACCGTCCATGATGCACTTAACAGCACCAGCGACGAACAAATCAAATATGAGGTACTCAAAAATTTTGAAGTTTCTATTTATCTTTTTTAATATTCCGTATGTGGTGACACATTTTTAACTTGCAAGATATAGCCATCCAATGTATAATTCCTTTCATTTACTATTTGTAAACGTTATTTGTCTGGTATTGCAGTTGCAGCTGTTTTCTTTACAAATAATGCATTGTGATAATACATTCTCCGTGAAGGGTCTCACTATAGATGCGAAAATTCTCACAGCAGTAAGTAAACAATCGTTTGTTAAAGTTACTTAAATATCTTTACAGTAAATTAAAACATTTACTTTATAATTTTATTTTAGATGGGTGGTACTATCGTTACACATCTTATAATTTTAATACAATTCTTGATCACCTCGCATTCTTGCGATGGAAAGACTACATTCAATGTGACACAAGCAACCTGAATCACCATAAATAATCTCATAAAAACTACATAGTTGGTAATAGAAATTTATTCTATTCTCTAAGCGAGTATGGAAAATAATCCTTGCGATATATTACGATTTTCTTTTCTTACAATTTTATTTAGCAATAAGCTTATATAAGCAATTTAGTGATTAATAGTTTCATCTCAGTTTACCCTGGAGGTCAACAGTGATTTTTTTCTACACATTATTCTTCGAGAGTTTAGTACTTCTTCAAACAATGAAGTACCAGGTAAAGCGTAATATCTTCATTAGACTTAAAACTGTTGGATATTCTGATTTGAAATCATTTAATATCAATAAACCTTTCAAATTTTGTAAAATTAAAGTATGTAACAAGTATTCGACACGTGTTTTGTGTGCTCAATTATAATATAATTCCTCTAATGAATGATCTAGATGTTCAGAGTAATATGGATCATACTATTGTACATTATGTCAATTACATTCCATTATTTTATGACCGCATAATAAGGATGATACATACTACTTACGAAGCTCCATGGTTACTTCGTGTCAAACAAATGATTCGCGCGTTATATTTTATGATCTGTGGCAGCAACCTGCAGTTTTAAAGTTAAACTCAACACGATTTGTTCGTATATTAGTGGACATTAGAAAAGTAGCTTTCGCAATTATGCGTATGGTACAGTTGAAGTGCTTGTTACTGGACAAGGAGATTTATATAATTATATAATTGGTAATGGGATCCAATGATTTTCTTGTATAAAACTTCGATCATGTTAAATTTGTCATCGAAATTTCAAAGACAAGTTAAAAGCAAGAAAGGAATAAGTGATCGGTGGTTAATACATGCTACGGATTTTCAATCCTTGATGTATCCTTGTCTCGTTTTTTGCCGTATTCTCGGAATATTCCCATACAAGATCAACAGTTCGTCCTTTGAAATTTCTAAACCATACTTCTTTCTATCAATTATAAATATGTGTGTTTTCTGTCTTTGCGCACTGATAGTAATGCCAGATATTTCTGAAGAGTTTCATGTCAAACAATCACATATATCTAAAATTATTGAAATTAACTGCTTTTATATTTTCGGCGGTTTCATAACTGTTGTTGCGTACGTTTTAAGCGGACCACAAAAGCGTTTACTACAGACTATACTGAACAACTCTTCAAGACTTTCTTTGAAGATGAATAAGAAATATTCTATGCTGATCCACGCCAAGGACATTTTCGTTTTTTTTATTATACTCGTGAATTCAGTAATCTACTCTTGCAACTACCCACTGTCTATTTGGGCTATAGTGTCTGGAATGTACATGACTATGACAATATATATGACGAATATGCTGTACATAAATTGCGTTTACATATTAAAAGCATGTTTCAAGAAAATCAACGACGATTTGACAAATTTATTCATAACGAACGACGAACATTTAGTCAGGTCGATCTATCGTAAGCAAAGTACTCCTTTATTGTTGATGGAGCTCAACGCCTTGAAGAAACGACATTTGATGATTAGCGATTCAGTGCAAATGCTAAATATAATTTACAGTCCGCAGCTCCTCGCAACCATAGTCATAGTAGTCATTCATATTATTTTTGAAATATATTTCAATGTAGTACAATGGCAAAATGGGTCTATCACGTGGACATCTAAGAATGTTAAAATGGCTGTACTAGTTCATCTTTGGCTTCATCTTATGACAATGTTACTGATAACATGGGTCTGCGAAACCGGCAAAAACGAAGCGACAAAGATTAGGACTACCGTCCATGATGCACTTAACAGCACTAGCAACGAACAAATCAAATATGAGGTACTTAAAAATTTTAAAGTTTCTATTTATCTTTTTTAATATTCCGTATGTGGTGACACATTTTTAACTTACAAGATATAGCCATCCAATTTATAATTCTTTTCATTTACTATTTGTAAACGTTCTTTGTCTGGTATTGCAGTTGCAGCTGTTTTCTTTACAAATAATGCATTGTGATAATACATTCTCCGTGAAGGGTCTCACTATAGATGCGAAAATTCTCACAGCAGTAAGTAAACAATCGTTTGTTAAAGTTACTTAAATATCTTTACAGTAAATTAAAACATTTACTTTATAATTTTATTTTAGATGGGTGGTACTATCGTTACACATCTTATAATTTTAATACAATTCTTGATCACCTCGCATTCTTGCGATGGAAAGACTACATTCAATGTGACACAACAACCCCAGCAAAAATAATTTCGTAGAAAATATATAATCGGTAAATGAAACGTATTCTATTCTCCAAGTGAATAAGGAAAATAATTTTTGCGGTAATAGTTTTATCTGTGCAACCGTTAAATACGCAATTTAGTTAATGATTTACGTCGATGTTGGTCGACAGTGATTTTTTTCTACACGCTGTTCAGTAGTTTGATGTTATATTGCGCCAACATCTCTTGCACTTTTGAATAATTCGATAAAATATATTCAATAGAAGAAAGCGAAGGAATTCTTTCTTTTTTGAATAACAAGATATTTGCTTAATACAAGACAGGATTGTTCCGCATTACGAGTGTCGATGATACGATATCGGGGCGAATGAATTTCATTACAGCCGGCGGACGCGTTTAATGCAGAGCAGCTCCGGCGGTCTAAAGGCTGGATAGGCCAACTCAGCACCCTGATATTTCTTTGAATAGAGATCTGTGTCGTGCGATAGGCTCGTATAAAAGACGGGGGTGAAGACGGAAGGAACTCCACCTCTATCTTACCCTTTCACTCGCCGACTCTCCTCGTCGCCGTAGTTCTAATGTCACTTAGCATATTACTACTCTCTGTTCCTTTAGACTCGAATTTTCACGCTCTGCCTCTTATAGATAAATCCCGTAGTCCTAAACTCGTTAACAAACTGTAGTAATGCTCGTTACGAGTGATACCAAGTGTGAAATGAAGTAACGCAATCGTAAAACGTGCGCCGTCATAATTAAGATGTCGAAGTACATACGTCTATAGACACTACTTGATTTCATATATTTCCATAGCGAAATTTCTAATTAGATTATTAAACTGAAATGTGACATATGGAATGTATATATGACATAATAACATTATAAAATTATTAAAATTATTAGTATAACCACATTTTTCTCGCTATTAGCAATCATAAGAATTTTTCCACCCCCTTATCTTAATTAGCTAAATCTTGTCGCTAAATTATTATTTTCTCCCTCTTCCACTCTCTCATTACTCGCTATTAACTGTACCGTTATTATTTAATTATTCTCCACGTTATGCTCGAAAGGGATTAATCTCCCGGGCCGCAATAAACGTTTTATGTCTACGTCTACGTCCGATCGAGCGAGGTCGTGTCAGAACCGCGGAATAGCAGTGAACTCGACGCGAGTAACCCGGGAATAATCCGTCACCATAAAAACCGCGTCCGCTACCAAAGTCCCAATGGCGAGACGACGAGGACATTAAATCCCGGCAACATGAGGCGTTAGACCGGACGGACGACAGCAGCAGGGAAAGTGAACCACGCGAAGGTATACGCCGAACTGGGAGCGGAACGAAAACCCACGGCAAACTCAATTTTCCGCGTTAACTCGGCCGACGAGGAGGTCGTAACGAGAGTCCGGCCCGATCGCTTAATATTCATGGAGGCGTGGCAAGCGGGTTTTAGTGTTTCTCTTCGGCTGGCCAAGTGGGTTTATGGCTGTTTCCACTTCGAAACGGCCCGTCGCGGATCGGGCGAGCCGAACGACGCGGTTCACCCGCGAGAATTCGCTCCCCAGCAGCCAATGTGCCTTTACTCACGTCGGTGCTCGCGAGGCCGCAAACGGAGAAGATTTGTTGGGTAAGCGGCGAGCAAGAGAAAAGGAAAATAAAAAAAACGTCTACTTTCGGTTTCAATAAATCTTCAGCACCTAGTCACCTGGCAATCAAATATTCCAGGTTAAATGGGCGATTCACGGGGGCTGACTCTCAATTGGAATGTACCGTCGCTAATTGTTGAAAATGCAGGCGTAATAACGATTGTTCCAGTAATTCGATTCATCAGCATTGCCAAACAATACGATATGTAACCGGCACACATTTCCCCAATAACGGCCGATTCTGATTGACTGTCAAAATACCATTCGAAATTATAATACTAACTAAGAGTTGTCAGTCTAATTGCATTTGGTGTCGCGTTGATGGGACATTTCGTCTGGAATTTGAAACATTCTAGCACAATGACAGTAAATATTCCCGTTATAAAGTGAAAATGCAAGCGAGTACATTGAGAGCTAATATTAACGTCAATTATCACGCGAGTAAAATCATTTTTAATTATCGTTCCACAATGCAAGGTTCAATTAAAAATTACATCTAATCATTTACTTGAGTCTTCTTGATTAGTCGTTAATTAATTACAGTAATTTATTATCCATCTTTCGGTAATTACACGTTGTAGCACTTTTCTATACGAAATTTCTTACATATTTTTAGAAATTTTTAAGTGGAAGAGAAAAATACGTGGTATTGTGGTATTAGTAGAAAAATAATTTCGCGTATACTTTTCCAGAGCGCAATTCGTGGTACGAATCACCAGAAGTTTTGAGAGGGGCAATTATTGCGCGGGGCGTCTAATTAAGGGGTGTAATGCCGGTAAAATGAGCGCATTATGTTTGAACTACTAAAATAAGGTATTCATAACCGGCGCGCTTTAGATCCGTCCAGAAAACACCGAGGACGCATCAGGGTCACCGGACGCGGGATTTTACGCATCTGGTTGTTAAGCGGCGTAAGAGCGGATTTTGTTATGTCACTTCCCCTGTAAACCGACATTTTTCGTGTAAAACAGAAATACGAATTTGGCTGCGTACCAGGGACGAGAAGGTCTTTTGTGCGTTTCGAGAGCTGCTGACGAATGGAACATCCGCGCAATGAGGACGAAGACGCGTAGTTGTTATATAGGCTACGTTCAAGCTGCCTCGCTACAAATGCTTCGAACCTTTCTCCTCTCCTTTTATCTTTATTGAAAGAAAGGAATAGAAAAATATTTCGAAGCATTTGTAGCGGCAGTTTGACCGCAGCCTAAATAGGGGACGAAAACTAAAAATCAGAGTCGAGGGAAAAAATGATAACGGTGAAACGAAATCGCAAGTATTATCGTTCGGATTTTATCGAGTGATTTTAACGATAGACGCTGTAGTTTTAATCCCGTTCGTTTATATTATCGTTATAACTTTCCAACATTTATAAACATGTTCAATTTGAGAGAAAAATATTTCGTTTTTCTTGGATTTGAATCTAGTTAAGATCTGCTGCAGTTTTATTTTTTTTAATTTGTGCACGTGCACTATTCGAAATATTAACAGTAACGGCTGAAGGAAAAATGTCGGTAGGATTAAATATCACAGCTGTGCTTAATAATCATATTAATTATAATGGAGTGAGATACCTCTCTAAATGGATTCTCTGGCAACTTTCGTTTTTTAGCGGTTAATCTGAGCTGTATTTCAAACAACTCTTACATATCTAACTGCCTCAATTCTGGATAACTGGAGCGCGAAAGATTACTACATCAAGATAAGTCTGAAAGTGATAATTTTATCATCGTTTCTTGGTAAGAAAATTTTCTATCCATACATTTGGTCATGTACATGCACACACGCACGTGTAAATAGCTAATTTTTCTTCACCAAGAAGCAATTATGAAATCACCATTCACTTTAATATATTAATCATATTCTATTCGCACTATTACGTGAAATTTAAACGGTTGGAAATATAAGAGATGTTAAAAATAAGGCTCAAGTTAAAAAACGGAAAAATAAAAATCACTAGCATTACAGATATCACATTCTATTCAATATCGATTTAACTTTCTCACCGACATCTATTCGACAGATATCACGTATGTTTGACGCATTAATTGCCACACGTTACAGAATAACAATTACACAGGCAAAGATTGCTCCCAATATAATGTCAGGCTCGAACAATTTGTTTTCTGGTTTTCTCAACGGGGTCAACGAGAGTCATAAATCAAAGAGTGAACGATAGTGTGGAATGTGGATGCTTCCAATCAATTAGGCGCACTCGTGAAAGAAACGGTTTCCGTTGATCGAATCGTCCTCGTTATTCTCGGTATAACGAAGCGCTGTCTTTGAAACCTCCATGCAATTCACGCATGCCTTTCGACATTGTCATTGCAAAAAATGTCAAGTAAAATCGCATCTCCGTAATACCGAGTCCGTATTTTTTTCGCGCAAAATAATTTAATACTTTTTAAATGAACGCTAATTGATATGGACTTTCATTGCAAATGTAGATTCCATTGTTTTATCAAAAGAAGAAACATATATAGATTCTATCTCCCTACAAGAAATTGAGATATTTTTCTTCATAAGCATTTTCATTTAGTTAAACATACTTTTAAAATGCAATTTAAAAAGTTATAATTTCTAAATATTTCGGAAATATTTTATCTATATTTATTTCATAAAAAATAATCTCCGCTTTTGGAAATATATAATTAAAATTAATTAGATTATATTGCTGTGATATAGAATATACATATAATTACGAGAAAAATCTTTGTTAATCACAAATGCTATTATTTAGAACCGTATTGTACATACATAATTATATTGATCTATTACACAATTTAATTTAATCTCGAATTTAATCATGCATTTAAATTTTAAATCTTAACCTGCTTTGCTACTTTTTGATAAACTAATTTAGTTCAATAATACTTATACTGACACTTTAAGTAAAAATTCATCAATCTGCAGAATGCTGCATCGTGTCTTACGAAAAACTAATATCACTACTAATCCACGAGTATAGCATTGTGGTACGTAAATCTTTCTCGTTGGAAGATATCGCGTGTAACCGATATAATCACGATCGTGGATCGTAAAGGCGGCTTCGTAGTTGCAGCAGAAATGAAATTTCTTCGTGCGAAAAAGATTTATCGGTTGTGCCATTCTATACAAATGGATGGTTGCTACTCGCCGTGCATTTATATGACGCGGTTAGGAAAATTGCGGACACGTTAGAAAGATTGTGATGCGCATAAATAAATTGCTATCATTTTAAGTAAAAGTATCGAGTAATATTATAGATACTTAATTCAATCGCCATAATAATTAAATAAAATTGCACTTCGTAAGTAAAGCCATTAGGCAAAAAGGGACTCTTTTACGGTTATTACTTCCTGTTATTTATTCCATTTTTAAATATTACCTTTTCAATGCAAGTTTTATTAATACCAGAAATGACAAAACGCGCAATTTGTAGTTGAGCAGTGTATACTTTTAAGAATTTGTATACATGCAGAGAAGTAATGCGCAACATCAATTTAAAATAAAAAGTTATTTATTACTCACTGATACGATTCGCAACAGCAGAGTTGTACATCGTTAACTGTATATGTCAAACTGTAAAAATACAAATATGTATATAATTATTATAGGCTAATTATGTAAAATCGAAATTATTGTATTAAATATACTTTATATTTTATATTTTTTAAAATAGGTATTTATTAAAATAAATATATAGAATACTGAAAGTCTTCCTTTTAAATATACACTCACAAAATCTTATATGTATAGTTTTGTCTCTAACACTTTTTCGAATCCTCGTTCGAATCATTTGAATAAATAAAATAAATACACAAAACTTTATTTTGCACAAGTAGCAAATGACATAAAAATGTAAGACACTTACCTCACCATTTCTCTGCCGTTGCCCGATGCCCCCTAGGCCGGCTGCTTCCTTCTCTCAGATTTCCTTGTTGCACTGACACAACACTCACTCGCGAAAATCATCGATCGCGCGAAATTTCGGGCACTCCCGTACGCGATGTGAAATACCGCGAAACGCACGAAATATTATTGCGAAGAACGACAGAGTGAATTACAGCACGAACGCCGAAGTCGCACAAATTTTTCACTTTTCTCGAAAATGGAACAGATTACACGAAATCGATAGATAATTAAAAGCGCGGTGCGTAAACGAGATGTAACCGCGACACGTACCACGGTTTACACTAATATTTTAGATGAGTTAGTCTCGTGAAATATTAATCGAAGAACGTTACTTGTTACTGATAAAAGTGTACAAATCAATAGCGTTTTATCCCTACATTAATCGCGATCGAGTCTTGGAAACCGATAACGCAAAAGTAATACCACGCACGGAGCGACTCTCGCTTCTGCCTGCCGGCTCGACGTTCGGCGAGCGAGTGAGATCGCGGCGACCTTCAAGTACTTAGTACACGATGGCACGCAAACATCGTACGTCACCGCGCCGAGAGAAAAACAACTACGAACGTTGAGAATTCGTTGTCTTTTTTTGTTCTGTGACTGTTACTACGTTTTGTGTATCATTCTGCGGACTTATTGGTATTGATTAAATTAACGATTTATTCTGTTCAATCGAGAAAATGCTTCGAAACAAAAATCGTTGTTACTTAAATTCTAATTATTAAGATCAGAGATTTTACCTCAATAGTTGGTGTATACAAATGTATATTTCTAAATTGCAAATCTACATTTACTACGAATCTAAAAGAAAAGTGAAGCACACCGCGCTTTGAGAAAACCAATCGGCGGCGCGGAAAAGGGGCCTCAAAATGCGACACAAATTAAATTCACGCAGTTAATATCTCTTTTTTTATATCTCTTTTTGTTAGCCTAGAGCTCATGAGCATTATCATTATTCAGAAAATAGTGTAAAATATTTATAATATTACTATTGTAAGTAAAGTATCTTCCTTTTACGGCATATATGAAAATGCAATTTCGGAATGGGAGAATTGAGATTTGCACAGCTCAGTGCCGTCATTAGCCTTTGATTGCTCTCTAACGTTATGTCTTCGTCAAATTGAGCCGTTATTGATCTTTGATGCACAGTTCGACATAATCGGACCGCTTCGTGATCGGCGAGGCTCCTAAAGTTGGTGCACGCCGTTAGATACGTCATTCGATTAGCGTTCATTGGACGAGAGCATAGTTTCTGGCTAGCCTAACCGGCCAATAACGAGTGATCAACAACATCATGAAAATTAGAACACCCCCAGATCAATTGGCAATTAACCGTGGCACCCAGGACGGACTTTATGAAATCTCGATTCGATTACATCGAAGTGTGTACTCTGGCCGGCGCGCGGAGATTGAGCATCACCGTTGGCAATGGCGGAAAATTGGAAATTTACCTAAGCAATTTGCCAGGCGCTCTCACCTGATCGTCGTCGTCGTCATCCTCCTCCTTCCTCCTCGCGATTCCCTATTATTTCCAAGTAGGTCACCCGTGCGACCTGTTAAAATTTTCAGCACTGCGGCATGTTTCAGTAACTATGACGCTTTAACGTATCTTAAAACTAGGCCACGTGTCAGTAAATTCCGTACAGACGATGTTTAGTATGCTGTTTAGTAAGTTTCGACTAAACTTCGTTTCATCGATTTCTCTCGTTTGGAGGTACTTAAGTGCGCTCCACATTTGTTACAGATAATAAATCACGTAACGTATTCGTCAAAATTATCAGCAGCATACGAAATTTTATTTCAATAAAATATCAAACGTTTCATCTTGTTGCATTCTAATTATCGTGTATACGCGTTAGATCGCGACAAACGTTTTGGACACTGAAATGCTGTGCGTTGGTTCAAGATTGCGCCCCTTTCTTCAAACAATGTGACGGGTAAAATGCTGTATTTTTTCGTAGCTCAACATAGAAATGTGAAGCCCTAAGAGAACGAAGCGCCTTAATATCCCTAAACAAGGAAACTTTTTTTCATTTTCACCGCCATTACTCGTTTGTACAGCTCGATCCGTCCTTTGCCTGTGATGCGCAGATGTATATACGCGGACGACGATATTAATAAAGTACGAGGAAAGTAGTTCGCGAAAAATATAAAGGATCCCGGTATTCGCGAGAGAAAACGAGAATGAAAGAGAACGGGGGAATCCAAGAGGGAGATAAAAATTTAAAAAGACGGAAGCTCGACGAAAAAAGGAAACGCGCGTAGAAGAAAACGAATGGAGAGAGAGAGAGAGAAGGGGGGACAGGAGGGGAAAAGAGAGTTCGCTGCAAAATGGTCGGCCATCCGTCAAGCATTGAAGACACGCGAGATAGAGACGTATTGAGAAAACCGGGACAAAAACCTATTGTTAGATACACGCTGCAGGAATATAGTACCATTGCTACTTGTCACCTTTCGACCCCTTTTCAGTCCCATCCATAGCGGGTAAGTGCCAATCGCCAATATGAATACGAAAGACGGAATTGTATCATCAACGCGAAATTATATGCAACGCTTGAAATCGTCGGCAATTATTGCCGCGCGATCGTTTCCACCTTGGAGAATTGAAGTTTCCTCGTTTCGCTCGACGATTTGTAAGTCTCAAAATTGTGAAATCTGAGCGTTCTCGGAGATTTGTTAATCCAAAAAATATCCATGTACAGAACACTGTATTTCAAAGGTTTTAATTGTAACTAATGTTCATAATTTTGAAATTCTTGTCTCAATATGCACAATTCTTCTTCCATGCACAACAAATTAAATGAAAAGAAGAATAGATTAACAATAGATTAACAGGATTGTTTCATTGTAACGAGTTAATCAAGAATACCTTAATTTATGAATATTAAATAACTGCAAACCGCCCTTTAACCGGATTGGAAAAAAAGAAGGTAGGGATAAACCTGAAGCACGCAATATTTTACGAGGCATATGTAAACTTATTTAGCCCACTAATTACAAAACTTCACAGGTAAGACCGATGAGCCTCATTATGTATAGTTCATAACAAATTTAAACGGGATCTAATTAAAAATTTTTGCCATCGCGTCGCAAGTATATATGCAACTTTAATAATCGCTTTATCGATTTTAAAGCCTCGCGCAGCTTCATCGCTTGATATTTAATCGCGGATACCAAAAAAGAGAGACGATAAAAATTAAAATATATAAAAGATATACGCGCTGGAGCGTCTCTCCAGATTCGTCCTGCGATTTTTTCGGAAGCGTGCGGAAAGTACCGAGGCAAAACTACCGTATTACCTCGTTACTCGGTTTTCAGGAAGTGTAAAAGTAATTACAAGTGGAGGAAGTAACAAATCGCTTCGCCTGACAGCGGCAATAAACGGCGGCGAGTATTTTAAGTAGTCCAGTCATTTTACTGTCGGACACGCTAGCCCTCGAGAGCGATTTTCCCGTGAAAGCGTAGCGCCCGCTGTGTTTCGTATTTCATTTAGAGTGACGTTTATGCCATTGAAATGGGATAGTGGCCCGGGAGATAACTGGATGCTGCATCGAAATTATTTATACAGTTTGCAGAATTAATTTGCATTACTGTTTTTTTATTTCAGACTTATATCTTTTATGCCATCGTGCTGCGACTGTAAAAGCACACACGTACAGTTCTCCATTAAACAATTTCGATTAATTGAATAAAATACAATCTCTAAAACAATTTTATTGTTTCATTCCGCTGTGTTTTTCCTTTCAAGCAGATATCCATTGTCCGTAAACCACCAGTGACGTAAGAGGTAGGACACAGTTATTTGATAAAGGTAGCTTCTATCGCGGCGTCGCGCTGGTACCGAGCAATCTATTACAGATTAATTGGCGTTTCTATCAGCCCTGGAGCGCTCTCTCTCTCTCTCACACACACACACACACACACACACACACACACACACACACTCTCTCTCACTCACTCACTCTCTCCTCTGCCGATCGATCCGATGGACGGGGTAAAAATATGAAATCTAGTTCTTGCGCCGTGGGGGTGCACAGAAACGTTAATTCGATGCGATGGGCCGGCTCGCTCGCACTGTCAATAACGCTTTTTTCCTCTCGTATCGACGTTGCATCTCTTGTATCGAGAGAACTGCACGCTAGAGAGGGCCATTGCCGGTGCGCTCTCTCGCGTGTGCGTGGTTTATTCCTGGAACCTGGTTATTAACACGGCGCCGCGATCGCGCAAAAGCCCTTGTAAAGCCTCGTTCGCCGAGTGGCTACCTGCGAACGAAGTGTCGGACAGGTGTCAATCGCTATCGATACCGACAGAAGAGGACCTCTCCTAAATATATATACATACACATACATATATACGTATACACATATGTATATACATATATACATTCGTTGGGGTTAATTGCGAGATATCACGACGACGCGGGAGGGTGTCGCCAACAGTGGAAAACGTGGGCCCTGATGGACACCCTCGATTAACTCGAGAGCCGCGAACACTGGGGCGGTTCAACCCGATCGCTTGTTTTCTCCCCGGTACTTTTTCAGCTTTTGACAACGATCGATGGTACTGATGGGGCTAATACGATGGTCGCGACGTTTACTGATGACACTTATGATCGTGAATACGGGTCCGGGCGCGAACGCCCTGACGAGGCTCCTCGATCCAGCCGGTACATGACGCAGATATCCATACAGAATTAATACCTTAATATTAATTGAATGTCATTATTATTATTATAATTATTAATAACGGCACGCACGGATGTACGGATAATGATATCAAATGTATTTACAGATGACAGTTGCAATCGCGTCGGTATAAATATTAATTGTTTATTCAGTAAATTAAATATTTGTCAATATTAAATTATAAATATTTTTGACATCAGCCGGTATACTTAAAACGCTTATTAACGCAAATGATATAAGTTATTAAATATTTTACGCAATAAAAGGTGAACCGTGAATCGTAATTTCATAATTATCAGTACATAATACTCGAAAATATACGAATGCTAAACTTTTCCCGTTATGATACAAATAAAATTATTTGTTTAAACAATATTGAACAGATAAATATTCATTAAACTCTGCCACAGATCAAAATCGAATGTTGCACCGAGCCCAATGTGGCAGTTATATTATAAAATTGATTAACATACAGAAATAATATGTGCAAAATGATACGTAAATATTGAACAGCCTACTGAAAAACTTAACAGAATGTCATATAATTTTTTTTAAGTAATTGCATTTTATATTTTATTTTAATTAAATTGCAATTCTGCATTGAAAGCTCGCTTGATAGGGCAAATATATTACCGCCACATAGAGTAAAGTGAAACATCGTAAGTAAAACTTTTAATGAAAATGTTGATTTCTATTACTTCCGTATACCATTTTTACGTACAAAAATAATCATTGGAAAAATTAGTCGTTTGTATAAGTCACTTGTAAATGAAATTGAGGCGGAAAAAAGCGTTTCATGCATCAGCGATGTCATTCCAGTTGACAGGCTCAATTAGTCGGAGACGACGAAGTGCGTGCCGCGGGTAACCGGAACAATCGATCCTCCCCCTCCCTCTCCCCCCTCTCTCACTGTCTCTCATTCTCTCTTACAATTAGAGGAGAGAAGCATCGAAACTATCGTATGCAACCGGCTCCGCAACGCGACACGTATGGACGAGGACGCGCATATTCGTCCCTCCCCGCCGCCTCGGTGTCACCCGGACGATGACGCGTCCTGACAGCCGGAATCGCGGGGAAAGCGATTCCTGCGCGTGACATCCGGTCACGCGGCTCGCATACGAGAACACGGCGCGATGCGAACTCGATCGCCTCTCGCGACGGCGAGAATGGAATTCGACAGGCCGCATCCCCCACACCCCTCGCCCCCGCCCCGACCTCTCTGTCACTCTCACCCTCTGATGTTGGTCGCTGACACATACTCCACTCGCTCTCCTGATTCCTCGTATACGTACATACATACTCGTGTACCCGGCCACACCTTGTCTCCTTTGTAACTCGGTCTTTCGTCCGTCGTTATCCTTCCGTTCATTCCTACTTTTTATTTTGTTAATCCTACATTGTCAACTGAAGTTCACCCAGGCGATCTCGTCAATGCTATCTAAATTAAAACTTTTAAGATCGGATTGTTTTCTATATAATATTATGCATAAGTTTTAAGAAATTTTCTTTCAAGTCGGTGTAGCAAAAAATATTCAGAAAGACAACTACAGTGTCAGCTGCTGTTATATTGTAGAACACAGAATTACAAAGAAGGATTCAAGATAAAACAGTATCCCCAATTGCTTGTGAGTGAACAATCTGATCTACTAAGTTTAATAAAAACATATCAAAAATGTCAGATAGAAACAATTTTCAATTTTGATAATATGTATTGTATTGTCATTTTTGCAATAAACACATTTTTCTTGCCATTTTATAAAAAATATCAAGATAGGATCCAAATAAATGCTTTACAAAATAATATTCGTGTTTTATATCAAACTGTCTTGCTTTAACTTTAACTTTAAATAATAAAATGAATTTATACATAAAAGAATATAAATATATTCAAAAAGAATCTCCGTTATCGAAAAACATTTCTATCTTTGACAATCTTTTTATTCGTATAATAAAATTTATTTGCAGTTAGTGAATATTATTTGTCCCTCCTAGTGTTAAATCCTTTTTCATGCTATCATCCTGCACATTTGATGGTTTTTTTTAATTGAAGAAATAATATAAATAACAATAAAATTGCAATTTTATAATAGTTTCTATCTATACAGTGATTTTTAAATGTATTCCTCTATAAGTCTATACCGTTGTATATTCTCGTTATGCCACTTCAGACAGGATTTGTCCTAGAATAATAAATAGACTTTTCTCCCTGTCCTCCTATCTTTTTACTCTCCTCTTCCCGTAGCCTCTTACACAAACTTCCCATCTTTCCCACTTACACTTTTCCGTTTTCCTTTCGCACGGTCCCACGCATACGATTTCTTCCTCTCTCGTGGACATGCCTTCTTCTCATAACGTTCCCCTTTTACCTCGAGCCACCGCCGTGGCCATTAAACGTCAGCAGCAGGCCGCCGATGACGGAGTACCACCGCCGCCGTCGCACAATGCTCGAGTGCAATCGCATCGAGACGAATACGCGAGCCGAGGGATTGACGGAGCGTGTGATTCTCGGCTTATTATTTTCGCGTGCGTCGACGCCGTGTCGGCGAAATAAACCTGGTCGAAGGCAGGAAGTGTAATCCTAATCAAATTCTGAATCAACGTAGAAAGGCTGATACACGGATTTAATGCTCGCCGCAGAAAGAATTAACAATGCGATAGTACAATAGCGACGATATCTTCGATAACGTCACATTTAAGAAGATCGATATCGCTATTATGCGATCGCCAATGGCGATGATTTGCCAACCTCGCGAAATATCACGTGACGGATCCCTCGACGGCGATTACGCTCTATTGTAATGTGACAATAGCAGACTCGCGCTATTCCTGATGCACTTTGCCGGAGTGCACTCGGTGGTCCCCGCGTCGCGGACTGACAGAATACGCAGTTCCTGCTTTATTATTTCGTGACGTATGTCCATGACGTCCATTCGACGGGCGTCATAGTCGATTGAGCGCCCATCTAATTAGTGTCAAGCAGCACACGATCCCGTCCTGACATTAGGCGTCGAGGGACTCGGACGTCCTTCCCCCCTCCTTCCCATTCATGGTTAAACAGAACCCCATACTCTGCTCTGCCCGTTAATATTAGCGCTGCCAGTTCCGTACAGCGAAGCTGTCTTGCATATTTCACGCTGGCAAGTTTCGGCTTCGATTGCGAAGTTTATTCCTATTCGTGAAGTTAAATTTCGCAATTCGGAAACTTAGTTACGTCTCGATTGTTACTAATTCGGCAATTATTAGATATTGCAGCAGCAAACGCATTAGTAGTTTGATTGTTATTACTGTTATCGAGAGGAAGAGGACAGAGAGAGAAAGAGAGAAAGGGACAAAAGGGGGTACATAGCACACTTAAAACTTTTAAATATATCGCTAGAATTAATTCCCATCACTGTTAATTTGAGGTGTACAATCGCATAGTTTTTACAAAAAGATCTGGACGAACGGACGGGACTACTTCAACGCGCTTGATTTCAGAGAGCTTGATAATAACTAGCCTAATGTAGCGAGAGCCGGCGATGAAAGCTAACCCGCGTGAAAACAGTCTTACCGGCGAAATGAATTGAACAATCGCTACGGAAACGAGATTTTACGTCGGCGTGACGGCGCGCCGGTCGAGAATGCCGCGTTACGCTCGCAGTACCCCGGCAATCTGGCCGCTTCATTTCTGGAACTCCATCCGGGTGACTCACCCCCGGCGCTTCTGCGCCAACAGACGCCGGCCGGTTTCGACGAGGGGGCGAATCTAGAAATTAAATTTCAGCGGATCCGGCTCGGAATGCCAAGCACCTTGTACGAGAGCCAAACTAACTTGCCTGCCTACCCTTGTTCCCACCCTTTCCCCGCCTCCCTCTCAATTTTCCGGCTTCCTTGTCGGCTATCTTTTCGGCACCTTCGACATCTCCTTTGCGCGGGGGAAAACGTGGCGATTGAGATAAAAGGGGAGCGGGATGTCGAGGAAGGGCGGTCCCTTCTCCATCTCGGTGATATGGTCGACCTGACGTTTCGTCGCGACGAAATTTAGAAGGCCGTATCTTCTTTCTCCCCGTAAACTCGGCACCTTTTTTCTTCTAGGCTTTATGCCATCTCTTCTTCTCTTTGTTTTTCTTCATTCGTGTCTTCTACCGGTCCCTTCCAAAAAGACACTTTCGTTTTCCCCTGGCG